TACTTCTATTGCCTGGTAGACATTTTCTGGGTCATGGAGTAGATTGCAGAGCGCCATCAATGCCCGCTGCTGAGTCAGCAGCTCAGGAGACTGTAACTCCTCATTCAGCTTAGGAAGGGCCCTCTTTCCAAATGCAATAGGAGCTTTTGTGGGATCTATATCAGGGGGAAGGTTGGCTGAGATACGAGCATGTGCCATCCCAAATTTTCCTGGGAAGGATTCTCCCTTATCCCTAAAAATACTCCAAAATTATAGTACCTCGTGACTGGACAGATAATGCACCAAAAAGACAACTACTGACTTCAAACAATGCTCTGTGTCCCAGAAGAGCTATTTTAGCACACATTCATTGTTAGGAAGCTATGAAAGAAGCTGGAATGATTCATGGTCATCAGCATTAGTGTCTGTTCATCAGCTGAATTGTCTTATCTGGTACTGAACACTGTAAAAAAAAGAAAAAAAAAGAGAGAGAGAAAGCTTAAAATTGCAAGGTGAGGGAGGGAATGTTTTTCAAAGGATTAAAGTGAAGTAGTCCAATATCCCGAACCAGAGAATGGGCTCAAAATAATATTACAGCAAAAGCAAATAAAACGCCATTTAAAAAAAAAAAACAAACTTTTAAAAGGAATCTAGTTTAAACCCGCCCTAGAACTTGTTAACGTTTGAAAGAATCGGTGATGGCTGACCTCCCCCTTCCCTCTGTAAGGAAAACGGCGCAGCTGACAGAAACATACAACCTCCAATATTGAAAACTGCTTAACAAAAAAAAAAACAAACCAGCTGCAAAGTTAAAACAACTGCTAAACAACTGCACTTCTCTCTTCAAAACAAAAGAAATAAACTAAATAAGCAAAGGCGCCCTGTCCCACCAATATGTCACGGCCTCAGCCCGTCCCCGGCTCCCGCTCCACAGCTCCTGCCAGCTACGCCAACGCCTTTCGCGCCCGCGTGCTCTGGTTGCCACAGCAACCAGCTCTTTGCGTACGCCCCACTCCGTGAATAAAAAACTACGCAGCCAAGCATACTGATTCTGGTCCTGCGTCAGCAGCGTAAGTACCGCGTTTGACGGTGGCTGATGTGAGAGAGTAGCGTCAACGGCGTAGTTGGCGAATTGGAAGGCGGGGCCGCTGATAGCGCGCGACTCGGAGCGCTGCTGTGCAGCGCCGCGGGCGGCTTCCCTCGGGGAGGCGAGTGCGTGAGGAAATGGGGGAAATGCCGCCATGGAGTTGCAGTGTGGAGGCCGTTTTACGTCGCTTCTCTGCTAAAGCATGGAGGGAGGCTCTATTCTCACCCCCTGCTTTTAAAGTCATTTCAGTTGAACAAAATTGAAAAAAAATCGGATTGAACAAAGTGGTGGTCGAGTTAATGGCAGAGAGAGAGCAGGCGAGTGCCTTGAGATACAAGGATTGAAGGGAGCTCACTAGCTTTGGAATAGGTTTTCTTTCCTAGTCTTATCCAGGATGTCACTATTAACAGCTAGAACGTGTAGCAGGGGTTTCCATTTGTCGTGGTCTAACCCCAGCCAGCAACTAAACCTCACGCAGCTGCTCGCTCACCCCCCTCTCCGGTGGGATGGGGGAGAGAATCGGCAGGGCACAAGTAGGAAAACTCGCGGGTTGAGATAAAAACAGTTTAATAATTGAAATAAAACAAAGTAGAACAGTAATAATAACAATGATAACAACAACA